TACCAACATGAAATAAACCATTTTGACGTTGTATATATACGCGCGTTACTAATAAAAGAGTAAGAAAGTTAGTTAAAAGGCATTTATTCATCTATTATTCAATTGAAATTATTTTAATGAAGGCTTACCGCATTTGTCTTTCCTGAATTTAGATTTCATTCAAGTATCTTTACATGTCGCAATATTTTAGCCGGTAAGAAAGCATCAAACTTCTAAATCACTTATGTAAGAACTTTAACGTAAATTTTTAACCAATATTTTATTCCCTAGCTTGTATTTTGATAGATTTACAGATTTTTTTTAAACCTTTAAACAGATATCTCAGTGAGTACCTAACTAAATTCGATAAAAAATTTTTTTTTTTTTTGATTCTGCGAATTCGCGGAATTTTAATGAAGAATTTTTCATCGAATTTTGTTGGGTACTAATATTTTCATTTAAAGTTAAGCTTTTATTTTAATATATATGTAGATTTTTAAAAATTTAAACGTTAATATCTCGGTGAGTGCATAACCAAATTCTATGAATTTTTTTATTTCAATCCTATGAAGCTGTAAAATTAATATAAAAAATTTCATTAAAATTGATTAGGTACTCGCCAAGATATCTTCGTTCAAAGGTTTAAAAAATTTTAGTTTTTATGAAATTGAAAATAGGTTTGATCTATCCAAATAAATATGGGCTGGATCAGGACTTCGAAATATCCAGCCAAGCCCGGCCATACTGAACCTTAACAGTAGATTTATTTTTTATGACGACCCTTAATAAATTATTATTATAGAATTTTTATGGGGTAATCTAAAAATCTGGGTTAGAATGCAACAGAGCCGGTGTTACGACCGGTGGGAGAGCTTAAATTAATTGGTGTCGGTTTAGCTTCCATCATGAACAAAGTTTTTAGTAAATTTACGATTACGGGTTCGTAGGATCGATTCACGTGACCAAGAGGCGAAATTAATTTATACGTATTTGTCGATCACGAGATATGTGGTTTAATTTGAATATAAAACTAACTTTGACGTTTTGGGTTAAAAGGTTTCTTTTTATTATTTATTTCTCTAAGCACTTATACAAGTAGAACTAAATATTTCAGAATTACACCCGAGCGTATCTGCAACCAACCATGCAAAATATCTGCGAGTAATAATCTATCGTTTACAAGTCTGAAACCTTCTCCTTTTTATAGTTTTAATTTCCCCTGGGGTTTTTAACCCTCATCACATATTTTATCCCCGGCTGAGGGTTATTGTCCTCATTGAGGGTTATTATCCCTCGTTGAGGGTTATCAGCCACATGTTAATCCCCTTCTAAAATAAGAACTGCAAGGGAAAATATAATAATAATAAAATAAAACGGAATATATAAAAAAAATTGGTAATAATATACGACTAATAATAATAAACAAAGAAATTTTTGCATAACACCGGGCCGACATTGAACAATGCTCGCTAATGACATAATTATCAACTTAATTAATAGGCTGTGACCTCAGTATTATTTCGTTTTTTTCGTTACATTACACTAAAATACAAATATGCATGTGAAAATTTTTCAAATGATACATTCAATATAAGTCAACCAATAAATTAATCGATAAACGGTACAATTTTTGTATCACTTGAACTAAGCATATATGTGTATGATTATTTTTCTTCTAAAAAACAAAAAAAATGGACTCTAAACAACTTTTTAATTTTGGCCATAAATATCTATATTGTATTGGTGTTATGAAAGACGAAAAGAAAGCTTTTGAATATTTCATGAAAGCAGCTGAGTTAGGAAATTCAGATGCGATGCAAAATGTTGGTAATTTATATAATTATGGAGTCGGTGTAGAAATAAATTACCAGAAAGCATTCGAATATTGGAAGAAATCAGCTGATTTGGGTAATGCTGCAGCAATGTGTTGTGTTGGTTATAGTTATGAAAATGGAAAAGGAGTTAATCAAGATTATAATAAAGCATTTAAATACTATGAAAAAACTGCTAATATGGGTGTTAAAGAATCAATGTTTAATGTTGCTCAAATTTATCGAAACGGCATCGGTACAAAAAGAGATATTCAAAAGGCAAATTATTGGTTCGGAAAATATAGAAGTCTTTTGAAAACTAATAAAATACCTGATAATATCAGTCCTGAACTTAAGAGAATATTAGATGATGAGAGATTTAAATTATCTTGGATTGATTATAATGAGTTTACAATTAAACGGGAACTGGGAAAAGGAGGATTATGGGGCAACTTGGCTCGACGGTACTAATAATCAATGGTGGGATGTTGCACTTAAAGTGATTCATAATTCAAACAAAAATTCACAAGAGTTTATCCAGGAATTAGAGAACTATTGTGAAATTGGTTATAATAATCCTTCGTTCTTGAACTGTAATGGAGTATCAAGAAATGATCGTGGTGATTATATTATTGTTATGCCGTTTGCACCAAAAAATTCGTTACGACAAAATCTTGTACAGATATCACAATTGAAATGGAAAGATAAATTGAACATTTTATATTGTATAGCTTTGGATCTCAAGTCGATTCATTCGCAGGAATACGTTCACAGAGATTTACACAGTGGAAACATTTTGCAACCTGAATTGCAAAACGCATATATCACTGATCTTGGACTTTCTAAAAAAGTAAAGGAAGGAAAAATTTGTGGAATTCTACCATATATAGCACCTGAGGTTTTAGTGGGTCAACCGTATACTCAAGCATCAGATATTTACAGTCTTGGAATTATCGCGACAGAGATTTCGACCGGACAAAGAGCATTTGATGGAATTCCGTTTAATGACGATCTGGTGTCAAGAATTATCGATGGATCAAGACCTAATAGTTTAGGTCCAGATTGTTATATTAAATTAGTTATGAAGTGTATAGATAAAAATTTTGATAAACGACCTACTGCGGCGGAAATTATTGAAATTATCACCCATTGGTTAGATGAAATAGACCAGGAGGATGAAAATAAAATTAAAAGACAGTTTTTGGAAGCTAATAAGATTAAACCAGAACTGATTAAACAGTTACATTCTCAAGACGTATATACTAGCAAACTATATGATACGAATAGAATTTCAGAAAATATTAGTAAATCATAGAAATAGAGTTAAAATTCCTAAATTTACTTTAAATTAAATTATATAAATGTGATTTGTAAAATATACAATTTGTTCTTTGTCATCGAAATTTTTTACAATATTTAATCCATTATATGTATAAATATATTTATTCTCTCTTAATTTAAATTATCGTGCAAACTCTTATGATCATAGATTTTTTTCTTCTTGTTATTTTTTGTACGTTATTACATAAGCACAAATTAAAACTCTGTTAGCCAATAATGACTTGTAAAACATGATCATAATTGCACGATAACATCGATATTGGATCATGCGACGATATTAATCGTTTAAATATTATTCTTATCATTTGTGTTTTGGGATGGTTGTTGGGATAAAAAAATCTTTAAATCAATTTTATTGATTTTGTTTTAAGCATCCTTTGAAATCTTTATAAATATAAATCTTTGATTTAAAAAATGATTAAGTATTACTAATATACTAAACAATTTAATAAGTAAATTTTCATGAGAACGCCATTTTAAAAATCAAATGTTGGATGACTATGTATTTACGTATTTAATCATATGTAAAATGCTCTTTGCTTGTCAAATTCACCTTAATAATTACAAACCAGAGCATTTAAAGGAGAATCCTTGAGGTTTCGTGTTAGCAAAAGTTGAAACCTAGTTACTACATTAGGGTAAGGTATGTGTAGTTTGTATAGTGTGATTGCTCAAGGAATGCATTTTTTTGTGTTTAAAATGTGATTTAATATGCATATTTGATTTTAGACTTATTAAATATTTATATTATGACGGTTAACGAAAATATATAATGGTCTTATATATTGAATCATTTAATTTTTCGGGATTTTAATAATGTTATTTAGTATGAAATAGCATCATCAAAAATAAAATTAATGCTGTTGATGTAACGCAAAATTTTGCATAGTTCTTGTAATGAAGTTATTGGTAAATAAGCTAGTAATATTGTCAGATCGATTCATTGATCTCATGTGCTGAGTCTTGTCTTATTTTTGGCTAAGCCGCTAAGCTATTAATTTTAACGGCTTAGCCTAGCTGTAAATGTTTAATCGACATGAGACACCAAATATTTATAAATATTCCTCTATTTTGTAATAATAAATAAATATCACGAACTTCGCTTAATGTATGAGAATGAGAAATTTTGTTATGAAAAATAGTCACAAACTTGAAAAGCTTATTTCTGTAAATATTTTCGAAACAGTATAGATTTTTCTAAAAATCTTTTTCTAGTAATAAAATCTTTATATTACACATTCTATAATGACATATATTCACAAACTTTGATTAATAAATATTTTTTATCACTGATTAATCCGATAAATTAACATGAATTAAATGAGATTCATGACCTGAGCTAGGTACAAAAAATTTTTGAATTTGCGTGTTATACGTACAGTACATGATCATACAATTTTAATGGTATCATGTGATTGAGCAGAAATTCGGAGGTGTACTTGGGTAGTTCATCAATATGCTATCTGCCCACTTACATAGAAAATTTGATAATAACTGATTTATTACCAATTTTCCATACTATTTTGTAAAATAAAAGTTACGCATTTTATAAAATTTAGCTTTATTACATTCATAAGGACTCTTTTATTTAAAAAATTCGTTGTGTTATTAAAAGTCAGAGATGAATTAAAAATAGATAAAGTGGCAATAGTAGCATAATTCAGTTTCGTAAAAATTAATTGTATTCAATGTTTAAGAATAAGATAGAGCACACTGGTACTTTATTAATCTTCATATAAGATTTCTATAGCAAAAGTATCATTTTTTATATAATACTGTATCACCCAAGCTAAGACATGCTCCTGTAATCTTAACTGCTTCTACAAAATATGATAATATTAATATATATTTATGAGAGCGTGAAAGGGCATGTTCTATCGCAAAACATTTCGCCTAGAATTTTGGTTGTCCCCCATCCTCAACACGGGTTTATACTTGTCAAGAGCCTGTATTCCTTTATCAATAAATGTCTCAAGATTCGGATACATAGAATATGGAAATGGTATTTGTGTTGGTGTTGAAACTTCGTGCAAGGTATTTTAACCGACCTATCCAGAAAGAGAATTTTGACAATGATTACTAATCATTTAGTATTCTTATTAAGAGGTAGGCATAAAACGATCGAATAAACAAAACCGAAATTTAATATAAAATTTCTATAGTATGTTAATGGGGCTTCCCTACATATAAAAGCTTATTTTTTTACTAAGCAACCCTTTTATTTTTATAATTTCTATAATTTCTATAATTAAACAGCAATATATTTTGTCTTCTAAACAAAGTTCACGAGGAGAACGATTTTTTGAGATTCTTTTGTATAGTAAATATTGACTTTTGTGGCGATTTGTTATAATTGAAACGTTCAATTCTAAAAAAGCACTTTAAAACGTATAAATAAGTTACCGGACAATTGATTTACATCAGTAATCAAACGAATGTCTGATCATGAGTTCTAGTACCCTAGCCATGACGAAAAAAATTACGGTCATTGTGAGATTCTACTCGACCTATTATTAAATAACGTGTTAAATTTAAGCATTTTTTTTTACAATATATAAGCAATTGCAATGACGGACAAATTTGCAGATTTCTCCAATATTCCATGGGATAGAAGTGAACTCAAGTTTCTTTTCATAATACACGATATGTAGAATATAACAAGTAATGCGCGAATGAGGACAGCAATGTAAATTTTAGCTAATAATCAGGTGTAACGTGAACATTAAATGGAATCTGTTATGAAAACCGCCCTTCGGGATTTCTGATCGGGCCAATTCAGAAAAACTCGGGTCAGAATACCGATTCTTACTCATATGTGAACCATCTTTTACTTTTTTGATTCGATAGTTTATCAATATTTAATAAACTATCGAATAAATAAAGTAAAAGGTGGTTTACATATGAGTAAGAATCGGTATTCTGACCTGAGTTTCCGAATTAGCCCGATCGGAAAATCTTGAGGGGTGATTTTCATATCAAAGATCCCAAATATCAAATAATCATTCTAACAGCTCTTTATAGTTAGATACCAGGAACGTAGTACGAAGTATATAACTAACTGTGTACAAAATCTTGGATTATTATTGGTCATTGGATGTGCAATGTCATCATGCGTACTGTTAAATTTTTAACTTTATGTCTAATCATACATTGCTGGGTTCAAATTAATATTAATTTAGATATGCTTTAATTAATGTAGATTGAATATATAAATATTATTGTAAATATGCTTACTACCTTTTTATGCGATATAGAATCGATTTTTGTATTGATAAGCTTTTGGCTGTACGCAGCTTCTAAATTCTGGCACTTGTGTATCTGGTACGAGCGTATACCTTACTATTTTTGGTAGTCAATTCGAGAATAAAAATGATATAGTATAATTTTCCGAATTTGGTTGTTTTATGAATTTCACATCTCCTTAAGATGTGTTATAAAATATTACAGGGTTTATGCGAATCTTTACACAAACTTTTCTGGTAGTTCAGTAGTTAAAATTTTATAAGCTTGTGACAGTGCATGACTTCTGATTTAAAATATACCTGTTATACCTTACTACTTTTGGCAATCAATTTATGAGTAAAAGAAATGTAGACAATTATTAGCGATCTATCTTGATTAGCGATATACTATAGAGATAGATCTAAATCCAAAAAAGGTACGTACGTACGTACGAATCATATAGTGTAGTGATATAGGCGATGAAAAAATCTTGGCAGGGAAAAAAGTTTTGGATGGTCGACCGAATCGACCTTTTTACTAGTAAGTTCTTCTGTCACCATATCTATATCAAACATGTAAAAGATATCAGGTAGTTCCTTGCCAAATACTAGTGATACTAAATTACTTGATTTTTATTTTTGAGAAATTCTAGACGTTGGTTTTGATGAACAGGAGAAACCGTCCAAATATAGATATGATTTTCATTCTCCGTTACACAGATCATTCATTGTATCGACCAGTCAAAATATCACTACGGGATTAGTCAACCAATCAAATTGCGAAATTTACAAAAAGACGAAACCATGGGATTCAAAAAATATGTTGTAAAGCAAAGTGAGAGCTTCATGTTTGTTCAACCATTTGCAATATTCATAGAAAAGATAAGTCAAACGAACCTTCCAAAAAAGTATTGTAAAATAATATAAAAAAATTTTTATCAATTGTGTAACGATTTTGTGACGTTCAACGGTTCCCCCTGTTGTTTTGATGTTGATTAATTGTCTGTTCACCTGAACGTATCGAACATTTCCTTATTTTATACCACTATTTGCCAATTTATTATTTAAATTAGCCAATTAATGAATATTTATATTCAATTTCTTAACCTTTGAGAAAATTGATTCTAATCTATTATTTATTGGCTAACTTAGTTTACAAAGATACAGGCTGGCCTATTTCTTGGGCTAGCCCGTATCACTAGTTACGACATAGTTGTGAAACGCAGCTAGAAATTTTCTAATGAAATCCAGGCTCTCATTGATCAAAAAAATCCAATTTTACCATGAGGCAGGCTGATTAAAAAAATTGAAAAAAGGTAATTTTTAGCCAAATTATAAATTTGAAGATCATTAGCCTAAATTAGGTAAATACGGATCTAAATACATCACAGAATTTTTGGTAGTTTTGGCCAGCGACACCATAATACCGACGTACTAATTTCATCTACAACCCATATTTTTGATAAGACGTTTGTTTGACATTATGTTTTTTCGCAATAATTTTCTTAAACAAAACATTTCCCAATAATCATTTCCTCGACATAGCATTGTATTTGAAATTGTGATTTTTCTAAAAATTGTTAATATTCCGAAAATTTTGCAATTTTAAAACAATGATTAACTAGTTAAATCTTATACAGAATTTAATATAAGAGAAGCAAGTTTTGATATTTTAGATAATTTGCACCATACCCAAATTATTAATTGAATAAATTCATAAATTTACGTTCCTGGTTTCGTGTAACAGCGTCGCGTAGCTACCTTATTAAATAATCATTCTAACGGCACTTTATGTTTGTGTTAAATAATTATTATTCTTATTGAGTTGCAAAATAATTTATTTTGGATCAAATTTGTAGATTACCGCACGTCTATACAAACACATTATTACCGTCCGATTGCGTACTGTACAACCCGATTTTTAGCGAGTATAACTATGACTAACAAAGATTATGAAAGTAATACATTTATATTGAATTTTTGGCTAAGAAATCCCTTGGTCCATACTTTCGGAGCATATGTCCTTTCTTCCGGTGTGACAACCCAGTGGTTCGGCTGGTGTGTCCTCCGCCATTAGGACCTGGTCGCTCGGTTCTCCAATCTCGGGCCCTGGTTCGAATTCAGCCCTCCCTG